TGTAACTCTAAAACAAATGACCGCAGATACTTGAAATTTTCACTTAATGTTTATATAGGCATTTTATATATTTGATAAAATTTTCAAAATATTTAGATTTGTTTAGAGCTGTTTACTGACATTTTAATTTTTCAACTTTTTTTTCTATAAATATCGATAAAAATTTATTTGTTAGATAGAAAAGCTTGAAAATTTAATAAAAAGATCCTAACATATTTTTACAATAGCAGTTGCAAAATAAAAGGAATACATAGTCACAATTTTTATTTATAAGCATTTAAAGTTCAAATTTTGACTAAATACGTAAAAATGACGGCAATGTTCTAATTATCTTAGATAGAAATTCATAAAAGTCTTTCTTTTTAATTCTAAGATTTGAAAATTTAATATAAGGCTCCTAACAAGTTTGTCAATCTTTATCACAAATAAAAAGTCTACCGGAAATTCAAATTAAATTTGTATGAGCATTTGAAATATAAATTTTTACAACATTGGATTTTCACTGAATTTCACATTTAGTAATTTTCTTATTTGGGCGTAACTCTAAAAGTCTAAAACAAATGACCGAAGATACTTGAAATTTTCACTGAATGTTTATATAGGCATTTTCTATATTTGATAACATTTTCAAAATATTTAGATTTGTTTTGATCTGTTTACTGACATTTTAATTTTTCAACTTTTTTAGTTTTTTTTTCTATAAATATCGATAAAAATTTATTTGTTAGATAGAAAAGCTTGAAAATTCAATAAAAAGCTCCTAACATATTTTTACAATAGCAGTTGCAAAATAAAAGGAATACATAGTCACAATTTTTATTTATAAGCATTTAAAGTTCAAATTTTAACAACATATTATGTAAAAAGGACCTCGAATCTGGCGATTGAAGACGATAGGCGTAGAGAACAACTTTTTGTAGTTTGTCAAACCACAGAACGTCAAACTTTAGTTTAGGTAACCTGTTATGTAAGTTTAGATCTGAACACAGTACAGTCAGTCAGTCATCCAACTCTTSCTCTCATCAAACTCTGAAAGGGTCTAAAACTCTAAAATCTAAATGTTCACTGTCTGGAGGTTTAGGCATTTATTGTTCTGTGGTTTAGGGGCTGATATTTGATAATACATTAATACTCATCTATATATATATAACCACATGTAACTATTTAAAATTTAAAATATTGTGTTTTTATTCTATGATAATTATCAAAGTTTATCTTCCATGAGATAATTTCTACACGAAAAGAAAACAATAACAATTCCTAAAACTACAACATAAGTCATAAATCACTATTTAGTATTCACAATCACAAATCACAATTCACATTTCACATTTTCACAATGTTGATGGTGTAGCTGCTGATGGCATGGCCACAGAGGAGAATATTGTAGAATTTTATAAAATTAAAATTTATAGACAAAGAAATTAATTTACCGTTGTACAAAGTGTGTGTCCGAAAGAAGGAAAGAACGAACGATAAAATAATAACAAACCACTCTGTGACCGCGGCGACACGGCTTGGGAGACGCGAACTGCAAACAGTCATCGGTCAGTAATCAGTTGTCGGTAGTGGGTACTCTACAGTTTACTCAGTAGCAGAGTTGACGCGCGTTCATAAGGTGTTTGATAGTTTCGTCCGTTTGAGTAACCGACTCCTSTCGGACAATAATAATAATAATTATAAACTTTTCCGTACTGTTGTAAAAACGAATTTAAAATAATACAAAACAAATAACTCGATCGCTGTCTAAATAGTAAAATATGATAAACCGCGGTGGCATCGTCTGCGGCGACTGTCATTACCATTGCTCAACGTTTCACTGTTAGGTTTTCAGTAACTTTGCATAGGTACATTCATGTTTGCACTGGGAACAGAGAGTGGTAATGCAGTAACCAACGACAGTATTAGATCGAACAACCCTTTTTTGGACTTCAGACGTATAATTTTGTCTCAAGTGAGTGATTTGTGTACGTTTAAGGTTTTCTTGTGCTCATTCCTCGACACACTGACAGATGATCAGATGTGTCAATAATTTGGCGTGTAGTGACATGTTTCGTGAATTAGGCTTAAAAAAATCTAATTGACAGAGTTGTACATACAACATTAAAATACAGTTACCCACAATATTTAACTTACATTAAGCAGTTAGTATTAGCTATTTTAATTACCTATAAGTAGTTATTCAAAGCGTTTTGAAGTATTTTCCTTCATGTTTGAAATATGTTTGAATTTGCAATTTTGGATACTACCAAGCAGTTGAGTTTCATTAATTGTTTATGTTTTCTTTTGTAAAGCAAGAAGATCAAAGTTCAAAAATGGATCCAATGACTCTAGTGACACAATATAATTTATTGCAAAATGGTCCTCCAGAAGAATCAAAACTTGCTACTTATATGGTATGTATATAATGCCAATTTAATTGTATTGTCTTTGGTTTTTTGGTCATTATTTATTACTGTAGTTGCTTTTATTCAGTAACTTAGAGATTTGACCTCAATATCCTAAGGTCATGAGAATTGATAGAACTTATTAATTAATTGTATGTATTGATTATAAAATTACTTTAAATTCTTAAATAATTCTTATATTATATAAATAAAAACTATCAAAGCAATTATTAACTTTTAAAATATAATATCCAACAAACAAATAATATATATTACATATTATTATTTATATATTTTTATACTATGAAATACTGGCATTTGAAAAAAATCCCGATTGTAGGTAGTAAACTGTATAAAAAAAAAAATAAAAAAAATACCCTCTAAGAAACAATTAGTTTTTACACATTTTTGTTAAAAGAAGAAAAAAGCAATATAGATACCTACTTTAAAATTGTAAAATAACTGTTCTAATAATATTTGATATAATTTATGTTTGAGTTTAGATAATATTCTTGTCATAAATCACAATTAAATATTCTAGAATTCAAACATATTGATATAGATATAGATATTTAAAAAATA